TATTGGATTTTTCTTCTAAAACCTCGAGAAAATAGGCTCTTATTCATGCTAAGCATGACAAATCTGGAATTAATTGCGAATCTGAAATTTTCGTTAAATCGCTGGTAGAATGTCTTCCCAAAACTGCTCAACAATATGCTTAAAGGTTCAACAACAACAGGTGCTCAACATTACGATTAAAGGTTCAGTCTTCCTTCTACTACAGGCTGTTGCTCGAACTTTTCTTCGTACATGATCCATCTTCTTTTGCACAAGTCCTGTTCCCTCTTGTTTGGCTACCAATTTCTTTGCTGCTTGATATCCGTCCGGTCAATTTCAATTCCATCCTTTTTCTTCAGTATGTGCTTCACAATTGACCAGTATTCCTCAATTGGCCTTAGTTCCGGAATATTGGCCGGATTCATCTCCATGGGAACCCAAGGGGTTGGTCACTCCAAACATTTTGCCAAAAATACAGATGGCACACCTGGGTACTTTCATTGGCACCCATGGTTAGAAATTTTCATAATATTTAAAGTTACTGGCAACACTGTACTATATCTGCACCTGCTCTGTGCATGTGTCAAAATGTTAATCATTGCAATCATTGTTGTTGACACAATCCAATTTTTGATTTCATAACTTCAACCGTGAATTTCCGGTGAAGTTCTGCCATGGATTCCTCACAGCGTACAGTTTTCCAAAACATCAGGATGAGCAAGGTTATCAAGGCCAAGTACAACTGTAATCTGGAGGTCATACTGGAATTCTTCCGGATGGCGCTCCGGAGTCGCTACTGTAAGACTGCTAGATCGGAGAACATCCACTCAAGATGATCGAACTGTGAAGCTGAGTGAAAAGATGACCATGAAGGGACTGCTACAAGTCATAACGCCGATTCGGAATGTAATTAGTGAGCTGATTAGTGGGGAGAGCGAGACCCTGAAAGAGGAAGGGGAGATTCGTGACGGAGCTGAAATCACAGTCAAAGTTTTACGTGTAATTGTAGGATGTTGATTGGTCAGCTGTTTGGCTCCTGAAAGTCGACATCGGTGAGTTGGTTGAAGGATAGGTTTAGCTCTCAGACACAACCCTGGTAACCCAGCGCTTGAAATATAATATTTATAAGCTAGGCCGAGAAGAAGTCCCGGCGAAGTGTAAAGTGACCGGTATTTTCCATGATGCCCAGTTCAGTAAGAATTTCAACATCGCGATGTTTGCAATAATCCTCGTAGAACTGATGCGAACGCAGCTTTTCGAACTCTATGAGGTACGAATTAATTATGGAATCCCAGCCGCACAGAGGATCGTAATGGGATCGGTGTCCATACAAAGTCACCATCTGGCCGTAGTAGTTTTATCAGTGGTCGTTTACCACGTTTGATTCCGTACCGCTTCACCACTTCGTTGATCAGCCAACCGACATTCACGTCCTTGATTCGTTCCTCATCGTAACTGACATCGATGAATTCGCCTTCGATGATCACTCGGACCATGTTCGGAAGTAGAATCTTCACCGCTGTTTACTTTCTTACCACCAGAACGCTGGCGACGCATCTTTGACTGAGTCGATGGCTTTCGGGAGAAACTCCTACCAGAAGCGTTCATCAGAATCTGAAGAGCACCTGGATCAGTTTCATATGATGATGCACACTCGTTTCGTCTACTTACCACCGTCACCTGTGGTTCAATCCAGTAGAAGTTATTGTCCTGTCGGAAATTGGAAGTGCCTCCCCCGGAGAACGTTCTTGCTCGAGGCTTCGATTCGTTGGCCGAGGCCGTTGCTTATTAGGTTCAGTGGAGTCCTTTTCCGATTTATGGGAGCAACGAACCGAGAGTCACGACAGTTAAGCTGGGTTTAGATTAGCCAAGTCAAATGATCAACTCAGTTGAACTTAATAGGCTTGAAAATTTGAGCCTGGTTCAAATTTTTTCAATTCAAGTGAGTTGATCAAGTCAGTTGAATGGCATGGTTTACACGTTCAATTCGCGTTCAAGTCAGTTGAATTCAACTTACTTGATCAATTTACTTGCCCTGTCTAAACCCAGCTTTAGGATCTGGGATAGGATTCCACTGCTTATTGTAAACAGTCAAATAAACCAGGTTGCCAAACATACAATTATACAAAAAAAAAATCAGTCTGATGACACTTTCGGCACTGCCGGTAGGCACACGTGAGGTACACTGAGAAAAAAGTTTGCGCAAAATACGTGTGTAGAGTGACCACCCCTTGTGGGAACCACTGTCACGCCATGTTCGCTGTACCACTGTTTGGTAGAATCTGAATAGTGACAGCTTTTCAAGTCCAGCCAGAATAGGCAATCCACCTCACGTTGCTCCAGAAAAGACAGAAGTCTCTTCCGTTGGCACTCCTTCTGGAAAATTTGGTGGTTCATGGTCCCAACAGTAACCAAAGTTTAGCTTTTCAGCCCACAACTGCAGATTGCTTGCCAGACAAGGAACTTTTTGGGGAGTTTCGACTTCTTTTTGAGGCGTTATATTCCTGCCCAGAAGTTTGATCGAAAACTGCCAGGAACGGATAGACCGGGATTTGCGTTTCGAGCGTACATGATCGAATCGCGACGTGCTTGCTGCGGTGATGCCATGATGCCATGAACTTTTCCTGACAACCAATGTCTACTGTGATTCGATACACTCTTAGCTTGATTCAGTGGAATTTAGAAAATTCTACACATAAAAAAAATGCCTTAATGGCAGTATCTTCAACCTTTAATTCACTTTGATCTCTCTTCTACATTTTCTAGGAACTATCATCAGAATTCTATTCCTTTAGCTTCTCCTCAAAACTTAATTGAAATTTTCTTAAAAGTTGTCCTAAATTTACATAACAATTTCCTATAAATTTTAGTCAGAGTTATTATATATTCTCCTCCAAATTTAATTGATATCTTCATCAAAACATTCTTAAAAATTCTTCAAACTGTCAAATAAAGGAAATCCCCATGTAAGGCTCATGGCACGATAATTTGATCCAGAATCTTAATTTTATAAATCCAGGATATTATCTCCGTTTCGTTTTGAGTTTGCCTCAATGTGAATGTCTTTTCATAAAGCTGTGCAATCGTTCTCCTCAATGTGATAAACTTTGCAGTTTGCTCTTTGCGTTCAATATGTGAGGAAATAACAAGCCTGACCCTAGTAATGCAAAAAGGTTCCTCCTGCTTGATCTTTGCACTATTTCCTCTAGCAGCATTACGAATTTCTCATCAAATTACTTATGAACTTGACCTAGCGTAAGAATTTTTCAATTCGACAACACGTTCTGTGAAAACAAAAACCGATTCATTTTGAATCATCCTTACTCCCATTGCTAAGGATAGTTTAACTATTGTTTGATACAAATTAGTACCCGAATGATTTGAATGCTAGTTTAGTCACTTTAACAAATATAAGGTCATTCGTGACTTGTCCGGGAATGAGATTTGAACGCATGACCTATAGCCTGTGAGGCATGAATGGTCAAATTGAACTGCGCTTTGCATTTTTGTATCTTTGAGATAAAGCTAATTACAAACTGTCCACCGTCAATCTATTTTACACAGAAATAGCACCAGAAAACCAGATTCAAGAACCATAAATCAGTTATTAATTACACACAGCAATAAGATTTCATCACTCGAGCTGCCTCTGTTCTGGTGGCAAGATTGTCACTAATGACACGATTCATCTTCAAATTATTCCGCACCAAGTACCTGCTCTGTACCTACTCTGTAGCGCTCTGCAATCTAATTAAATTTGCACGTCTATTAATACCTCATCAGCAGAGAACGTGCTCGCCATCAAAAATTTACCTCGCCACCAACGCCCGCCTCTCTCCCTCTGCTCGGCAATAACAAAGACAAATTGAATGGCTTAATTCGCGCAAATCCTGGACGGTCTGTACAATTTATCTACAATGAAGCAAGCGCTAGAAGTTGCACTTCAATATGCAACATCAACGTCGGCAGGATACAGTTGGTGGGAATTTATCGCTTTGGTTCACTCGCCGACGATGGCAGCTGCTGAGGCTAATGTTGATATTTAATTTGCATTTTGGTCGCATCGGGTCAAGGTTCTCGGGATTGTGTCTACACTAGGGTGCTCTTTCAACATGTATTGAAGGCTTCAAAACCTGTGCAAAATTTGACCGAATTTGCGGGAGAATTTTTAACATTATATGGCAAATGATGGGAAACGGATTGATCCTATTACTTACCAATACTCCAAATATTGCTCAACGTACTATACAACAAACTTTGTCAAAAAGTGGTGCCGATGAAGTAGTGGTAAGCGTGATTGCCTCTCACCCCAAAAGTCGAGGGTTCAATCCCAGTCGGCGCCGCCGGGATTTTCTGAGGCATAACATCCCTGATCACGCCTTCCTTCGGAAGGGAAGTAGAGCCGTTGTTTCCCGATCCATGAGTTGATGGGGTTAATAGGTAGGGTTCAGGTGTGGGAGCTGCCTCCCTGGCGTCAGTAGCATTGGTACTCAGAACGAAAAACAAGATCGATGGAAAACAAATCAAGGAAAACAAACAAACTTTGTCAAAGATTGCAAATCAATTTGATCTTTTTGCAAAACAAAAACTAATCTTTCACTTTTGACCAAGTGTTCCACACGTACCTACAAGCTCATGCATGCGTTTGTAGGTATGTGCGAACTTTTTTTTTTCTTAGAAGTCTAAATTATTTGCAGTTTTCGATAAAGTTGTTCTGCATAGTATTCTCAATTTATTTCCGCGATTTGATCAATATTTGAATATTTGGCAAGCAAATTAATAGGTTCGTTTCGTTTCCAATACATTCACCCATACAAAATATAAAATTCTCTCGCAAATTCAGATGATAACCAAATTCGTTCAAATTTGACAGCGTTGTTGGGGACATCGGAAGAGCAATGGGGAACAGGGGGTTGTGATCCATCATACAAACTTGACCCACCCTAGTCCACACTCTTGTTTGTTCACCCGCATTTGCGATTGTGACTGACGTATTCTCCATTTCTATTTCGCCCCTACAGTGCTGAGAAACGCCTTCAACGCGTTCGATCAGGAGAAGAAGGGATGCATCGGCACCCAGATGGTCGGTACCATCCTGAGCATGCTGGGTCACCAGTTGGACGACCAGCTGCTCAAGGAAATCATCGACGAGGTCGACGCTGACGGTTCCGGTGAACTGGAGTTTGAGGAATTCGTTACCCTGGCTGCCCGGTTCCTGGTTGAGGAGGATGCCGAAGCCATGCAGCAGGAGCTGAAGGAAGCCTTCCGTCTGTACGACAAGGAAGGCAACGGCTACATCACCACCCAGGTGCTGCGCGAAATCCTTAAGGAGCTGGACGACAACATAACCAATGACGATCTGGACATGATGATCGAGGAAATCGATTCTGATGGTTCCGGAACCGTTGATTTCGATGGTAAGTTTATCAACTTTTCGCGCCAGCCACAACCGTACTAACGATTCCATCTCTTTTGCAGAATTCATGGAAGTCATGACTGGTGGAGATGACTAAACGCATCAGCGCTATCCCGTCCAACTCAGTATACCATCCACCTTTCGCTAGCTTAATGTTCGTTTTAATATTTAATTACCTTCTACTCTATCTTGATAATGTTAGCTTAAATTTTCCACCTTGCTTTCTATACAAGGAATCATGTTACCAAGTAAACGCAGTAGCACAGTAGCTAGAAACAGAGAAACAGAATGCACGTGTCGTAGAGTCAAAACCAACCGCGTAGGAATGGACGAAAGCAAAGTTTTTACAGTGAGGAATCCTTATTCCCGGATGGTTCAATCGTCCGTGTTCTTTGTTCCGGATACTTGGACGCCATTATTTTGCTGAAGAGGATATCATATCCGGTCAACATTATATCCGGTTAAAGTAATCCGAATAAAGGAATACAGGCACCCAAGCCATCCGGGAATCAGGACACTCGACTGTATTTGCTACCACCGAGAAAGGAGAAAAACAATGGTCAGGAATAAAAATAACAATATTCGACACTACACACACAATACAAGAAGCCCCATCGATGCCGGCAGGGGGTAGTTCAAAGTTTGAATCGCGTCGCTAGCCAACATCTATGTAACAGTGTTTATTGAGTCATACAATTTATCGCTGCAACTCGGACCGGGTCAAACTCTGTATCCTACCAGCTACCACCCTTGTTTCAAACTCCACCCGAACCACGTGAACAAAAAGCAGCAGCAGCTGGTACCCGGGAGCTAGTTTTCAACTTTTTCGAAAACAGTAATTGTATTGTTGTACAAAATAAAATCAATTTGTACTGGATAATATCAATAAGGGTTTTTGGTTTTCTGCTGAACAAAGAAAGTCCCTCCTTCCTAAGTGTGCGTTGAAGTAAGCAAAAAGTGAGTCTTTTACAATTCGAGCTCAAAAATTTGGTGTCAGAGCCCGAGTAGACGATAATATCAAATTAATAGAAGGTTTTACTTTTGCAATTGGGGAACAAAACATCAAAAATTGTTATTAGTATGATTCATACAAGAGATAAATATCAAAAAATCAATGGGACCATAACTGAGTGATAGCAAAGTCAGTTCATTGCATTTCTAGAGAAAAGCAAAAATCATAGCAAATTAATATCACATTTCGCTATTATATCTCATCAAGCTATTGATGTATTGTTTAAATTAATAAATTTAATCACATATGATTAGCTTACTCTCCTGTCAGATCAAAATTAGATCTTGAATTACTGATACTAAAAAAAAATCATAACAATAGCAAATTATGCTATGATAGCAGAATAAGCTATTGATTTGTTATAGCGCTCAACTTACCAACAAAATAATAAGATATTGATAGTAAAATTTATATTATTTTGATATTTCCTTCTACCCGGGAGCCCAGCATCTTGCTACCGTCATCAATCATGATCGTGTCGGGAATTGAAGAAGAACGTTTTCGTGTGACATGGTATCGCCTTGCGTAAATTTCCGCTCACGTCTGACGAAGTGCTTCGGATGATGGATGACCGATCGATACATTCCGGAAAAGTTGACTCAATTTATCTCCGGAGAGGATAACTCGCATGCTTACGTGTATACACATTAGGCTTGGTATTCGGCAATTGATTGCCAATTTTCATGCATGTCAGCTGGTTTATAAGTTGAATTGCTCCATCCGGTAAACTGGAGTTTGATAAATATCTAGAGTAGATTGATTCATCCTGCCTGATGCAATGAACTATTTATTTTTCTTGCTGGCTTTGACGTTCTTACATGTGAAAACGCCTGCTTTCAACTTAGTTTCTTTGAAGCTGTTCCAAGTTATTAGCATCCAGCTCTGCATGGGTTTGTGTTGGGTCAGATCCAATTTCCATCATACCAAGTACAACCCGCAAATAACTTATATTTTTAACAGATTTGTACACACAATAAATGAATTTTTCTACTTAAGACACCTACTGATTCGGTACACTTTCCATTGAGTACCGTTTGGTATATAGGGTGTCCTAGAAAGTATAAGCACACTTTCCACTCACCGCCATTTCTACCCCGATGAAGTTTATGAGCTGTTCATCCATGTGTGTTGTTGTTTACTTATTGCTCAACAAGTTTGTGTGCGCAGAGTGCATTTTTTCACAAAATCATCCAAATGCGAGGCATTTCCCCGGTAAAGCCCAAACCAATCGTGCACAAATGGTGCACTATTCCCATCCTATCAGTAAGGAAGTTGGCGAAAATTAAGGAAGTAAGTATCGTAGCAGTCCAAACCGCCATGGGGAAGTTCGGCGAAGAATTTATCTTCGAGAACACATCGAAATCTGGCCGTAAACCGGGAACGGTGGAGCAGAAGATCACCAAGCTTTCGTCATTAAGAAAAAGCCTCTGTTCGAGATTTGGTCAAACAACTTAGAACATCGAAGAGTAACGTCAAACGTGCCAAGGCAAGAAACGGGCTGAAAACGTTCAAGAAGCAGAAAAAGCCGAAACGGAGTCAGAAACAAGTCGCATCCGTCAAACCGAGGGCTCGAAAGCTATAAGATAGTATGCTGTATGGCAAATTGACGTGTGTTGTTATGGACGATGGAACATATTTAAAATTTGACTATAAAACGCTTCCAGGAGACCAATACTACACAGTCAGTGATAGTTAGGAAGTTGACGATGCCGATAAGTCAATTGATTCCGAAAAATGTGGTAAGAAGGCCATGGTTTGGCAAGCTATATGTGAGAATGGCAAGTTGTCATAGCCATTTGTGACGAAGTAGACAATGAACACTAAAATTTACATTTGGGAGTGTTTGAATCGGCGTCTGTGGTATATGATCCATCAACATGATGGCCCAGTACTATTTTGGTCCGATTTGGTGTCAATGCACTTCTTGAAAGATACGGTAGCTTGGTACAAAGCAATGTGCAATTCGTACCAAAAGAAATGAATCCTCCGAATTGTCCGGAGGCACAGTCAATCTGGGAATCTGTGCTAAAGCTCATGGGCAGCGTCAGATCAAAAGTTTGCTTATTTTCATCTAATTGAAAGAGAATACTATAGATAACATAGGGGAAATGGCTCTAATGTTGGTCTAAGAATCAAAGATTGGGCCCATCGCTAAAAATCTGCTATTTATCAATTTTATCTAGATGAACGCGTCATTGGGATGGTACAAATGGATATTTTTGGTTGCTACTGAAAATTTAGTCGATTGGTGAATTTATGTATGGGCCCAAATTAGAGACACACGACATTACATCCATTTCCCCTATATATGAAATAAAAATTTGAGTTTATTATCATAACGTTGTTTTATTCCAATAATAAACTGTGCTTATACTTTCTGGAACACCCTACATACTGATCAAACGTACCGTATTGAACGGGATAGTTCAGTTTTGTGTTCATACTCTTAGGATTGTCCCATAATTTTCAATCAAATATTCAAATTGTACTGCTAAGTATTTAATTATTATATGAAGAGCTTTTTTGAGTGTGTTGATTTAGTTCATTTTCATTCCGTTATAATTGATTATCTTTTGACAGATATGCGCATTTCGTCTACTACTCGTAGACTTCATCAGTGTCAAGTACTGAACAGCAATTTACACTGATGAAGCCTACAAGTAGTAGACGAAATACGCGTATCTGTCAAAATATAAGCAATTATAACGGAATTAAAAGGAAATAAATCAACACACTCAAAAAAGCTCTTCATAAAAGTCCCGTCAACAGGTACGACCAAATTTAAAAAAATACTAATTATAGATACAGTTAGATACAGATATAGATAGTGGTTAGCATCCACACCATATGAAGTAAGTTATGTTAATAGTGTTCCAACGTCGAAGTAGGTACAATGAGTCACGGTTCTTTAAGCAGTTCGTGGTCTTTTATTGAACAATGCTTTATTTTTTATTATTGAACAATGCTTTAGTCTTTCATTGAACAATAATCGTCAGCAAAGATATTGTAGAGAGATTTAATTTCCATACAATTCTCAACTCTACTTCTAGTCGAATACGTTCGATTCACTTGGTTTAACAGCTATAGCTTTGATGGATTAGGATTACGATAGTTTATAATTTATTTAGAATAAATTTACTTACTATTTTAGCTAGTTTAAGCTAGTATGATTGAGCAAATACAGTAGACATAATATGTGTAGTTGATCATAACCTATAAGTTTCATAATAGTTCATAAATTTTAGCATAGGAATTCATAATAGATTAAGCAATAATGCAACTTACTCCAACTGCATCATCACTACTATTAATTTGTTTATTTGTATACTAGCTTCAATTATATATTACTTGAGTGCAGTTTCGAATGCCTTTGGATACGGTTGTGTCTTAAGTTTGTTCTCTGTTTTGTGCGTGCGTTCGCATTCATATTTTTCGGTTGCATTTGCTGGATTAGCGCTGGCACTCTGCCTCCCGGACGGTTATGCGTGTGTGATTGGTGGTTTTCTCGCTTTCCGAAGAAGTTTTAGAATCGAGAAAGAAAACATGATTCATCATTTTTGCAAGCAACAGAAGATTTGACGCTATCTGCGTTGTTTGATTTTAGTGATAATTTTAATTTTAGTTTATTTACGCGGTGATGATGTTGGTTCACTCGCAATTTTTTTTGAAAAAAAATTAAGTGTGTTCGATCGAAAGTGTACCAAAAGTGCCCCTGAACGTGTTTCGCAGTTGGATGTGGTGAAATTCGTCCATTCCCGGTTGATTATGGAAATTCCGAATCACAAAATTGCCCACCGATTCCTTTTTTTTTGCAATTGTATAGTGCTCATAATCAGAGTAGGCTGCGCGTGTGAACGAACATGACGTTCGTTTTTTTTCTCGGAGTTTTTTATGTTTATTTGGCTATTAATCCGGTTTACATTTTCGACGATTGGACACTTCAAATTGGATCTACATAGGACGGGACTAGTTTATGTCGATCCTCATCAAGCGAACCATCTTTCATTGGAACTACAATGCAACAATAGCACGGATGCTTCCTGTGGATTCATTTGGACTAACTTGGTAAGATCGTATTTGATTTTATCTATATAATCTAAATTTATATGATTCTCTTAAATTTGACAAATTATTAATGGAGTTTTCTCCACACATCCCATTTTTTGTTTATTTGAAATCATCATTGAACGCCAAATGTCTGAACATTTTTGAGCATGTGGTGGAACATTACTGTAATTCATATATATTAAAACATAGAGGGGGCAGCCTAAGGGAATCAAAGGAATTGTTGACTGGACGAGGGTTCGTGGATTTGCCAGTCCCTTGTCACGTGATTACAGATGGCCATCTGGTCGTTTTGTCTTCCAAAGGTCTTCAATGAAGCTGATTCACCCTGCTGTAACAAACCATCAGGCAGAACTTTACAACCGGTATAGTATCTGCAGACATTGGTAATCCTTGCACTGATGGTGGGTTCCATTCACATCATCACATCACTAGCTTTAATTATATATTACTCAATAATACTACTAATTAGTGAAAATCGGTTGGTTTAACACCGCGCATTCACCGCCCACTTTGTTTTTTTTTTTTTTTCCTTTCAATTTCACAACTAATCTCTCTCCGTCATCTATGTGAACGGACTTCTGACATGTTAACCTAGTCGGTACGGGGTGACTCTATGTCCCTGTGCTATCTTGAGGCGTGCGTAGTGACGCTCGTTACGCTTCGCTCAACAGCTAGATTTGGCGTAGCTTTACACGAAATTTCTTGTAAATTTAAGTGAAATAACGCCTAAATCAGCGATGTTGTATACAACAGTTCTGTCATGGTAAATTTAGGCCTAGTTACTCACTGATTATAGATGT